ACGTTTCATTTCAAGCCAGGAAGTTACTAGTACTTCAGAATCTGCATGGTATGAAGATAAAAAAATGTTTCTTCGAATTCAGTTCATAATTTAAGCCGAATATAGAATTCGTTTAGTTTATGCAGAACACATTTTGCCAAGCAGTTCATTGTAAATTAATGTACATAAATTTTAAATTTTGCTTGTCACCTATAAAAATAAGGAGATGTAGTATGATTATTGAGACAACTATCCACCAGAGTCCAAATGACATGAATAAAAGCAACTATATGTCAACGAACCTGTACTTCCTTCAACAATGAGCAAAACCATACCGTATTGTCAGCTATAAAAGGCCCCGACATGACAATATGTGAAACAATCCTAACGAGAAAATCAATGGCCTGATTTTCACATAGTTCTTTGACAAATGAGATATGAGCTAGAGTCATATCTTAATATCAATGACAATCCATCAAAGAGAGTCTATATTAGCTGCAGTGTTTTTAGTTTTGAATTAAATATCCTAATGCAAGTTTAACATTATAATAAAAAAAATTATTAATATTGATATCTAACAGACATACCGTATCTCCTTATTTTTTGTAATCTCTTAAAGAAGAACATTCGAAGGATTCTTCTGGATATCTTTACAAAGTTCATTTTTATTTCTAAATCTATAGGATAAAATACGTGCCATCGTCATTCATTCTCTTTTAATTTTTATGTGTAAATTTAACGATGACTGTACGGTACCATGATTATATCTAACGAAAGTAACCATACATTTCTTTGTAAAAGAGAGGCGAAAGATGCCAAAGCGAAATTCAAACTCATAAGTCGGAAATAAACAGACAAAGCCATTACAAAGAAGGACCAAAAGACAAACAACAGTATACAAAACACAACATAGGAAACTGAAGACTGAGCAACACTAACCCCACCAAATATCGTAAGTGTTGTATCTGTTTGTACTTTTAGTAAGTTAGTAATGGCAAGGCATCATAATTAATAATATTGGGAAAGTTTCTCTGTGATTTATTAACACAAAGTAAGTGTAAAATTTGTACTTTCACATCTTTTATTGCACTTTCATAGTAGTCATCAAGATAATTGGTTATGGCATGCTGAATAATTAACCAGAAACGGTATGTTTGTTTTTGTAATCAAAAAATTAAATATCAAAAATGATTTTTGGATGGTAGCCCTAATTCATCTTTTAATTTACTGCTTGGTAATGAAAGACCAGTTCCTTTGATTTCAAACCTCAAAACACACATTCCCACTTTCAGATATTTGATTTGAATATTTAATCAAAATGAAAATAGCGAAAGAGAAACAAAAATTTTCAATAATTTGTCTCCATTAAACTTAATTTCTTCGGTTGTCATTGAGAAATGATATGGAGAAGTAACGAAATCATATTTCTTCTTCCGCGTAATCTATTTCTGCTACCTGATTACGCATTGTAATTGATTTGTCTGCACGAGCAATTGTCAACTTTACACTATAACTCAGAAATAACAAGCAATTTAATTCAATAGATAACCTGCAGTTTCCATCTTTAATTGCCAATGTTTTTATAACAGTGTCGAGTTCTATATATCGACAACATAACAATATTGGACCACCTACATGATGGACACAGTTTGCCTTGGCAATTTAACACAGGTTATGCACTAGTACAGTTTGTTCAAACGAAGTCAAACTACTAAATATGCTTCAGCTTTGTACTGTTTGATAGGGTTTGAACGCTATAAAAGGCCCCGGCTTTATAAAATGTGAAATAACTTTAAAGAGGAAACCAACGAGCTGATTTATACTGCAACTATAAATCTTTAGTTAATTTACGTAATTTTTGTAATACATCCAAAGAGCTTATTCACGCGCCAAAATTATAATTAATTTCATTACTTTAATATGCTTTATTACAACATATGGTAATACGTTCTGTAAAAGTAGTCCATGAACAGACAGAACAGTTGTACATAAAATAACCAAAAGACAGCAAGAGGTACAAAATGTAACATACAATCTTCAATAGCCTTTTTGATTATATCAGATGCATGTTTACAAGTTTTATCTGTAATTTGGAATATCACTAGATCATTTGAAATCAAAATCAAAATCTTTCTGGAATTATAATAGCTTATCCTTTTGAGATGTATGTTTAGAATTACATCAAATCATGAACGCTTTGATTATTTTTAGAAATGAAATATCTGTTCATCTCCGACATGTAAATGCCAGATTCTTATATGTTGTTTAATTCATCAGAAAGATACAAATACTTTATAAAAAGGCTAACCAGAAAATGAGGATAATTCTCTATCTTAAAAACAACATAAAAATACAGTTACAAGCAACGCATTTGACTAGACACGAACACACTTTCTCAATTACAGATTTTTAAAAATCCATGCAGTATATTAAAGTATTCATTTCCTGGTAATATATTTAACCCCCGAGTAAAATATTTCGAACCAGACAGTTAGTTACATTTTATGCCTGACTATCTTTTGATTTTTTGTGTCGTTGATAGATAATGATTACAATGTACCATTTCATTTATATCATAGAAATAGCAGGCAATGTTTCTAAGATATATTAATTGATTGGTTCTCGTTTGCCAAACATCGAGTTACAAATGTTTCAGGCATATTCAGGACGAGAACAAATTCAAAAAATGAATAAATTCAATAGGTAAATTCGGTAAAATGGGACGATCGTGTAGACGGTCGGGAAATTCAGACTGCCATTTCTATTGATATTTTATTGTGTGTCTTTTTATGTTGTAATATTATACCACTGTTTCAGGTTAGAGTGAAGGTTGACGCCTGTTAAAACGTTTTTATGCACCTGTCCTAAGTTTGGAGCCTGTTGTTCAGTGGTTGTCGTTAGTTGGTGTGGTTCATAAGTGTTTCTCGATTCTCGTTTTTTTATATAGGTTAGACCGTTGGTTTTCCTGTTTGAATTGTTTTACACTAGTCTTTTGGGGGCCTTTTATAGCTTGCTGTTCGGCGTAGGCCAAGGCTCCGTGTTGAAGGCCGTACTTTGACCTATAATTGTTTACTTTTTACACATTGTGACTTGGATGGATAGTTGTCTCATTGGCACTCATACCACATCTTCTTATTTATATATTCAACTGAAAAAGAAGGTATGTTGGAAAGGGACAGAAATTTTGCATTGAAACAGATCACATATGGACCCCTTGAAGAGTTGGTGAAAAAAAAGTTTCTCATTGTTATAGAGCGTGGTGCTCTCCCTACACAAGGCTACGGATTTAACGTACCCATTCCAATCGGACGTGGATACATATTTATACATCCCGCACACCATATTTAGCATGGGTTCTACTGCCGAATGGGAAAAGTGCAGTTGAAAATATTCATTAACCCCAGTCAATCCTGGAGGTTTGCATAAATTCTATCAATTACCATTAATTATTTGTACAACTAATGAAACGATTACATAATTATATTGTAAACATGAACACAAATAATATTGATAGGTAACTGTGATAAAACTTCTTCTTGAAAGTTTCAGGATAGATCAATGAGATGTTTAACGCCATGCTAAAGTAATAAAAATGGCATAAAATAAAATAAAATCAATTGAAATAATGAGGTCGATGATGATATTGATTCAATCTCTTTTAATTTAACTGCCATGTCAAAACATGGTTTTATTTACAAACTATCCACATCATACGGAATAACATGCTTGCCAAAACACCTATTCATACGATATTTTACCGTATGGTACTTATGTTGTACTGTGAAAACTTTGTGAAGGTCAACAGAAACTAAAGTTATTTCCTTGATTGCATCCATCTTATTGCACACTTTAGATAAAGACAGGCTATCTGTTTCAGATGTTCATATATAACGGCACCAAATGGTGCGAAATACGTCACATATACGCGGAATTGTATCGTTTCTATAATCATCAGACAAAGAAGTAGTCGAACAAAGCTATTAAGAAGCCATCAACCATTGTATTTGACTAAAACAAGACCATATTTAATTTGCAATGATGAAACGACGGTGTGCAATGTATTATTAGAAAATAGCACTCCGATAAACCAAAGTGTACAACTTCTACAGACATATCTATTAACTTTGATACTGCACTACAATTTCCATTTTAGAAAATATTGGGTTTTTTACATTTACGAGGCAATATCTTATTCTCTAATATATCAATGTCTTACTAATTCTAAATAGCATGTTCCAGGTTGCACGAATGTAATTCATGCTCATATGCTCATACATGTAATAGGATTAATGTCGGAGGGTGGGTGAAAAAAGGGTACTTGTTTTGTGTAGTTTACTCCTTCTACTGCTTTCAATTCAGAATAATATACAAAAAAGGAATAACAGGAATCGCAAAAGAAGAAAACCCCTCAAAAACACATCAACCACCAACACTCGCATCACACGAACATACAGATGCACAAACAAAGACAAACAATGACGAACAACAATTGGTCCAGATTGTCTGACTTGGTACAGACAGAAAAATATTGTTGGTTAAAAAGTTTTTAAAAAATTTCCTAATATTGCTTGTATGTACGTGTACATTGCAGATATACATCTCACTTTGTGAACATATTTTTGAAATATCGTTTGTATATTTTACATATGGTAAAATTTAGTTGATTTACACCCAAACTTTTGATAGAATTCAAGGTATTATATATTTTGTGCAATCGACACGTACTACAGTTTGCCAACTCAAAGCCATCACATTCACATATCTGCATGAATTGAAGATGAACACGTCATATAGGTTACACATTTGGAGAGGTTTATTTGCTGATTTTCGTTATGATGGAATTTAGTCTATTGTCAGAAACATTCTCAATGGAAGATACCTTTTATTTGTATATTCAACTCCTTCTACACGTATTGAACCCGACCAGTTAAGCATATGGTTCTTTTCATCTTTGAATAATTTACCGTAAATGTTTTAATTAGGGATTTATTATCATGCAAATGTAATAATGTATTTTGCAGGCACCTAGAATGAGCGAAAGAATGAGAACAAAATTTGAACAGCTGATGAGGTTTAATGTTGAAGAACAGAAATGTGAAGCCAAAATAATCAACTATACTGCACCACAAACAGGTTAACTAAACACATTTGAAGTAGACTTTGTCTTTTTTTATCCTAACATTAGATGAAACAATATCCATTTTTAGTTTACCTATATACCCTTATCAAGAAGTTCATCTTATTTCCCTCTATTAATTTCATTTTTGAATCAGTTTGTTGTTGCAGCAACATTTCCAAAACCCTTATACTCTATATTGTTTTGGTATACTTTTGTTGGTTACTTTTTACTTCTTTTAATATTACAACACATTTTGAATTTGATAACACTTTTTAGTGAAATTGGTTCAAACTACGTAGAAGCGAAGTGCTGTAGAGGATAATTGATGTACAAAAAAATATGTCTAATGTCAAATGTTAGGATGCATGTTCAAGGAAATTCTTTTTCATCTTACTTATCAATCAGTGCTATTCTCAGAACAGTACTTTCCCTGCACCAGCGGGCTAAAATCAAGTTAGATATCTAAATAGTAAATCAAATTTTAGTTACTTGTTATTCCAGAAGTTGTTCTAGGTTTCCAAGGAGTCTGTATTTCTCACGTGGTGGCAAAACTAACTGCTTATTTTGTTTAATTTTACACACAAAAAAATCAAGGAGATGGGGTAGGATGGCAAATGAGACAACTATCCACAAAGGACATGGATTTCAATACTTGTTGGAGATACAATGGATAACCGTTAGCTCGTTACAAAGATACCACGAGCCCAGATGCCTTTAACAATGATCAATAAGAAATAATACAAAAGGGAAAAATGGTGCTATTCTTCACTATTCAGGCTGTTGCTATATGAAATTTACAATGGTCAGGTTTGTCGTGAAAGAAGGTCATGATTTCTTTGTCGGGAGGTTAAATATATACTTTGAGATTACATAGCTTGAGTTTGTTGAAAAGGTATGATTTCCTTCCGCTTTTCTTGTACCTTTGGTTTTGTCGTCTGTAGTACTGTTTTTTTTTTTGTTTCACAACTGTTGCCATATTATGATCGTCTATGTACCTTTTTGTTATTTTACTGATCGCATTCGAAATAGCTTAATTTTAGGTTTTATTCGATCACGATTATCAATTAATTCGTGTTTTTTATGAATTCTTAGAAGCCTTTTTTAAATCGTCGAGATTAAAATGTATGGTTTAAGTGTTAATAAATTGTCACCCAATGTTTTCCATGGTTCTTTTTTCATTTTTTTCATGTAACCCATGTAGAAACTTTCTTATATTAATCAATATTTTAACACTCATATGGTAGCCTACCACATATATTTCTAGTTCCTCGTAACGATGTTAGTTGAATACAATGTTTACTAATTTAAAGCTTTTTGGAATAAAGGCTTTTTCGAATTTTAATTGAATACAATTAAAATTGAGAATGGAAATGGGGAATATGTCAAAGAGACAACAACCCGACCATAGAGCAGAAAACAGTCGAAGGCCACCAATGGGTCTTCAACACAGCGAGAAAATCCCACACCCGGAGGCGGGCTTCAGCTGGCCCCTAAATAAAAATGTGTACTAGTTCAGTAAAAATGGAAGTCATACTAAACTCCAAAACATATAAATGAATTAAAATTAAAAAAAACCATACAAGACTAACAAAGGCCAGAGGCTCCTGACTTGGAACAGGCGCAAAAATGCGGCGGGGCTAAACATGTTTTGTGAGATCTCAAAACTCAGTTCTAAAGAAGTCCGAGTCTGATGTCAGAATAGGAAACAAAAGAAACTAAGCAAAATGACAATGATACATAAATTAACAAAGGACTACTAGTAGTTACTGACATGCAAGCCCCAGACTTCAATTAAACTAATTGAATGATTATGTCTTCATCATATGAAAATCAAGCACAATCCCTCCCGTTAGGGGTTTAGTATTATCCCATCATAAAATATATGAGAAGAACATAACCCGTATCATGCCAACAACTGGTTTTAGAACAAATATGTTTATTTCCGATGCAAAGACCCTATGAGTGAATCAATATAAATACCAAAATATGCCATCTTCAATGACCTGATAACAGTATCGTAATTATATTCCTTTTGAATAAGTCTGTTTAAAGGTTTGGTTAGCTTTTGAGGCGAATGCAGACATTTTGTGCTTTGTAAAGAATATTACCATAAAAGATTGGATGTGAAATACCTGAACGTATAAGATGTCTGCATGTTGATTTATATTTACGAATAATGTCCTTGTACCGAGGGGCCAGTCGAACTATTGTATCACTAGCCAGTCAACACTGTGGTTGTGAGTTCCAATCCCGCACAGGGCAGGTGCACTCGACTGCAATCTTAATTGACTAGGATTTTCAGTTTTCCTACTGAGGTCGGTGTTTCTCTCCGGGCACTCCGGCTTCCTCCACCAATAAAAACTGACCGTCACGAAATAGCACAATAGTGTTGAAAGTGGCGTTAAACACCAACCAATCAATCAATCAATCCTTGTACCGATGATAAAATTTAGTAAATGTTTTGACTAATTTGTGATATCGAAAACCCTGGTGTAATAATTTTTCAGTAATACAGAGATTTCTTTCGTTAAAATCAAATGCGTTACATACACGAGCGAATCGAACAAGTTGAGATATATAAACACCATAAGATGTTGACAAGGGAACGTCACCATCTAAAAATGGATAATTAACAATAGGAAATGAAAAATCGTCTCTTTTATCATAAAATTTGGTATTAAGCTTCCTGTTAAAGATAAAGATATCAAGATCCAGGAAAGGGCAGTGTTCATTGTTATTGTTAGTAGATAGATATAAGAAGATGTGGTAGGAGTGCCAATGAGACAACTCTCCATCCAAGTCAAAATTTATAAAAGTAAACCATTATAGGTCAAAGTACGGTCTTCAACACGGAGCCTTGGCTCACACCAAACAGCAAGCTATAAAGGGCCCCAAAAATTACTAGTGTAAAACCATTCAAACGGGAAAACCAACGGTCTAATCTATATAAAAAACGAGAAACGAAAAACACTTGTGAACCACATCACCAAACGACAACTACTGAACATCAGATTAGCTTTGTTTAAAGTCAGTTCAGCAGGATAAATCGCTTTAGTGTACATACTGAAGTCGTCATTATTGAGAGCCAATATATCATCCAAATATCTAAAAGTGTTATTAAATTTTTGTATCAGATGTTGTTTCGATTGGTCTTTGCTGATTTTAGTCATAAATTGTAACTCATAACAATGCAGAAACAGGTCCGCAATAAGTGGTGCACAGTTAGTCCCCATTGGAATTCCGATAACTTGACGATATACGGAATCTCCTTATCGAACAAAAATGTTATCTAGTAAAAATTCAAGGGCAGTTATAGTATCAAAGCATAGTTCTTTTGTTTGCTGTTACTAAAAAATGATCTAAAAGAGTTTGAACATATATATCCGCATTCTGACTTTTTTAATGTCCATTTAACTATGTGTGTGATATTTTTCTTAATAATATTATGAAGCAAAGTGGTATATAGGGTAGAAAAACCAAAACTTTGAACAGATTCGAAATCACCAATATAAGCATGCAATTTATCAAGTACTTCCAAAGAATTTTTGACACTCCAAAAGAAATTTTATTCCACTATTTTCAAAGGCCTTATTTGAACAATTTATTACCAGGTTTTTGATTGTACTAAGTTTTCTTGTAAGTAAAAAAGACAGTTTAGTAGTGAAACAATGGCTTGAAGACGAAATAAATCTGTATTTGTAAGGTGTTTTTTGCAGCTTCGGAAGCCTGTACATAGTTGGAACTTTCATTGTATTTGGTTCTGCTCGTAAAGAGGTAGCTAAAGTTTATGTTTGTTACAGATGTCATTTTCCGAATATGGAGTCAGTTTGAATGTTGGTGAATTCGTGATTTCCTTTTGCAGAACCTCAATGTAAAATTTACGTCAAACAATAATGATATTTTTAGCAGCCTTATCAGCCAGGAGAAAAACAAATTCCTTGACAAGTTCTTTTAAATTATGTTTGATACGAGAAATAGGGCTATTATGGTTGTTGTTAGGAATAAAATGTTCCTTAAAATGTTGTATACGTATATCAACTATGTTCATTACTGAATTAAAAAAAGAATCTAAGGATTTCTTGTCAGCTTTTTCGCGTTTTATCTATTTCGAGCAGTAAGTACGGAGTGAGTCGTGGATGATGTTACGACACTCATTCCAATTAATAATTGACGGGGGACGATATTTAGGTCATTTACTGAGGAATGATTTCAACGCTCGGTCATGAACGATTTTAAGCTCTCCTGTTATAACATGGGAACTGGGGCCATAAATATATTCGGAATTACTGCAATTTCATGACGTAGGTGTATTGTCACTGATATTTACATCTTTACACACTTCGCTATAATGAAACACATATTTCCGGGTAGATTTTTTGTAAACATAACAAACAAGAGGGACACAGGAATGGAAAAAAGTTAAAAAGGTAAAACTGTTCGGCAAAAGACGTCAAACGCTATCCGTCATCAAGTAACCAGAGGACAAAAACAAAAGGCAGGGTATATCAGGGTAGCGCATTGTTCAACTTTTATGATGTGATTATTTATATATGGTCTGTGAAATGAAGACAGGTTTAAAAACACATTTCAGCTTTCAAACTGTTATATCATATAATGCCACAATGCTATATATTGATTTAAGCATTGGATTAATAATTTGTATTGTATACTTATTCTAAGCTTTCATTACGGCAAACCATTGTAATGAATGCTGCAGACTGCATGCAAGTTGGACATTGTAGTATTTATTTCTATTAAGCTATAACAAGGTGTTTAAGAAAGCATTTGCTATAACACAGCTTACATATGAGAGAAAAGGTGATAATAATGTACGTGTCTTTTGGAAATAAAAGGCGGAAGATACCAAAGTGATACACATAGGTCGAAGACAACCATTGGAAAAAAACGAAAAACAATGGTAACCAAATTGATTGATTGATTATTTGATTGGTGTTTAACGCCACTTTCTGCACTATTGTATTATTTCGTAAAGGTCAGTTTTTATAGATGGAGGAAGCCGGAGTGCCCGGACAGAACCACCGACCGTCGGTAGGAAAATTGACAATCCTAGTAAATTCAGATTGCCAAGTGCGGGCGATGGTCACCAAAAGACAAACAATTGTCTAAAAACACAACATGGAAAACAAAATAAAGACTGAGCACGAACCCCAACAAAAACCGGGGGTGATCTCTAGTGCTACTCCACGTGTGACACCCGTCGTAAGGCTCATGCAAGTATATTCGGTGATAAGTATAATTAAGGTGATTTCACATTCGAGAAAAAGAGTACTGGATTATGGTAACGATAATTTGGACATATCAATCGTCATCTGTGAAACAGATTTTCCATAACAGTCAACCAGCTCGTGATAGCGTCTTTTAAATTTTCGAAGAGATGACTTCATTTTCACCACTTGGAACCCTTGTTGAAATAGCTTCCTTGAGACCAGCAACCCCTTATCAAGGAAATCATGATTGGAAATTCAAGATCTGGAATATCGCATCAACTGGGAGATATATATAATATATTCCCTGTGCATGCGCTGCTGGAATGTTGTTAAATAGAAAAGGAATTCTTGATTTGAAAGCTGAAATTTTTGTGTTTAACGAACCCTCATTGTCAATTTCTAGATGTAAGTCAAGATATGAGGCAGACTAAACTGTATCTGTTGTATTGTTTATTTCAAGTTCGACTGGATAGATGCGTTCAACATAGTTACCACTTTGAATTATTAAGTGAGAGAATATTCTCTACATGTATATAGCGACACGTGAAGTTTAAGGATAATGGTAGCTTGTTTGGTTTTTTTTAGTAATTGTCGTTAATATAATCATGTACATAATTATATTTGTTATAGTACATTGTAACTATACTAATTGAATGTTATTATTAAAGTAAACAAGATATATAATTAAAAGGTAAAAGAATAAAAGCACATAAATATAACTTAGGATAGTCCTAGTATTACCATTCTTGCTATGACATCTATAATTTACAGTACCTTCATATGCTGTTCCTATCATAGACCACGACTCAGTCATAAGATTTGAAAAAAAAACAGGCTGAGAGGTAGAAGCTTCAATACCTTTTTATTTGTCAAATAAAAGTTTCCTCTGTTGAACCGGCGCGTTGTGCTAAAATGATACCACACAAAAGCAATTAAAATTAATTCTCATCCATTTCCCATCATTTTCATTTTTCGCTAAATTCGTTTTGTATTAATTTTCGATTGTAGACCTTATTATTTTTTATTGCATACAGTTTTGTACTTTTACATCGACATTGAGTAAGTAAAAACTTTTAATGAGAGATCTAATTGCTTTAAACTCAAAGACATGACAGGAAACACAGTACATATAATAAGCATTTTGTTGACATTATACTGCCTTATCGAATAAGTCATTGAAGGAGCTTTCAAGCATAATATTCATGATTGAAGCTCATTTGAATGAATAAAAGTAGGCAATTCAATATCAGTTGTTATTAATGCAACCTGTTATTCCTAACGCTGCAAAATCTCTTAATTTATATTTAAGCAGAAGAATTAGCTGTTTCATCAAGCCAATTTACATGTAAATTAAAATAATTAAACACAAGAAACAAATATGGTGGTCGTTACAGGAATATATAAAACCCATTCCTAGACTTTATATTTACAATTTACAGTTTATTGTTTATTGAAATTTTATAGACAATATATGATATAGATACACATAATTATGTTCATTATTTAATAATGAGAAGATGTGGTGTGCTTGCCCATGAGACAACAATCCGCCAGACGCCAAATTATGTCGAAGTATCCTTCATATTGTGAATTAAGCATATATATTTTTTGTGGTACATGTAAAACAATGTATAGTCAGTAGTAACATTCGGACATTTGACTTACAGTCAACACCAAATTATTTTAGTGAAGCGGGAACGGTGACTGGTAATTCATCCGGAACATCTTAGACTCGTAATTTTTTGAGGGGTTCAAGTTGATCAATCTTTAATTTTCTGCTGATGCTTTTCGCTAACCTCTTGGGAGCTTTGGCTTTGATCCTATTAAGTAACTCTAAAGTGTTTTTGAACAGTACTTAGTTTACCGCAGTGGATATGGTTGACAATTGACTGAGAGCCTTCATAAGTTATAACTGTTTACAATGTTATAAGTTTGACTGTCCCTTTGGTATCTTTCGCCTCTCTTTTATGCTTAAGGCCTTCATAAAGCGTGACAAGATATGAAATGTATACATGTACAAATTTCTGAGCCAATTCTAGAAATAAATATTTCATGTCATTTATTTATACCAGGTGCATTTTGTGATATGGTATGGGATAACATCATGTGTTGGGATGCAACGCCAGCTGGAACTACTGCAAAAATGAAATGTCCACATTATGTAGAAGGCTTTAGTAACACAGGTATACATGTAGTATGTTTTCAATATGAATATACGATTCAAAATTTATATGTTAATACATACAAGTATTTAAAGTTCAAAATGCATCGATATTTGTTTCATGAAATGATTATGTTCATTATCATACTGTAGATATGAACAAAAAGAGTTACCAATAAAAACAAACACGAAAATACACGTATTTATCTTTATGTCCCTCAATTTTGTTAGTAATATAACTTCCATTTACTCTCCAATAATAAATCACTTTCATCAATATTCTATTTTTGCAGGGTTTGCAACGAAAACATGCACGGAAAATGGTACCTGGTATGTAAGTCCGCATACAAATGGTACATGGACAGATTATACAAGGTGCCCTCTTGTAAACCTTTCTCTGATGGAAGTAAGTTGATGTATAAAAATGCAAAAGGTCATGAAAATTTGATTGGAGGCTATTTGTAATACCCAGCAGCTATGATTTTTTTCATATATTTATCGACACATTAAACTTGCACTATATGCATACACAAGTGCACTTGGCTCGTTTTGTTAAAATTATTTTAAATATTGATGTTAAAACATGTAAATTGACAATATGGTTCTTTCAATAATGGTTGCTACTAATGGAAATCTAGAAGAAGGAAATATTTGTCTTTACAATTTGTCAAGCTATAAATCACATAGAGTCTTTAAAATTTGATGTATCTGAAGCTCTTTCTGGATTTGCCATTAACCATGAAAAAATAACTCATCATAGATATCAGGATTATAATTGTGACGCGCGTTTCGTCTACAAAAAACTCATCAGTGACTCTGGAATCAAAAAAGTTAAAAAGGACAAATAACGTACAAGTTGAAGAGCATTTGAAAGCTCAACCCCCACGTAAAAAATAAAAGCCTAGAATGTATATTTATATTTATATCTGAAAGTCAAATTACGTGCAAAGAAATAGGCAATTTGTTTTTAAATATATGATGCATAAAACACGTAGAAAATTTAAAGGCTGAGTATCAATTTAAGTGCGCAAGACAGTGTTTAGCATTCATTAGGTACACTTATCGTTTTTATTTTATCCAGATACATGTACATGAAATATTTAAGAGTCCCTTATATTGTATAGCCACACAAAGACTAACAAAACATACCATTCACATAGACATATAAAACGTTCGTCCAATGAGTTTACATCAACAAAATCGAAAAGTTTCCACTTATATAAAGACTTATTTCAAGAAAAATATTTTAAAATGCTTTTCTCAGGAACATCTTCCTAGGATAAAACTGATGTATAATATTGGATATGGTTTATCCCTTGGTTCACTTCTGGTTGCTGTTTTTCTTATGTGCTTTTGTAGGTAAGATTTTTAACATGATAAGAAACTTAAATGAAATGCCATTAAATAGTGTTGTCACTTACTTGTTTCGATAGTTATAAATCCATAAACTTTAATGGAGTTCATTATTCAGTACGCATGACCTGTTTAACTGGACAATTTTCGTAACTTAGTATGCATGCTAATATGTTTAATTGGACAAATAAAAATGGCATATATGAAGGTCTGGATGCGGTTTAGACAAAGATTTTTTTATAGTAGGAAGGATTGTAATCTCATGGACATTTTGCATACACTAAACGGAAATATGTTGCATGGCCTAGAGATTTCCCGTCATGTATTTCAATCATTATTTGGCTTGCCTGTTAAATGACGGACATTTTCTCACTTCTAAATTTGAGTCCGCATTTTGTGGGTACATGTATAATAAAACATAACAACAGAACGTGACACTTTTGTGTTCAAGTTTAAGACAGTTCTAATAAAAAAAAAAAACAAAAAAAAAAAAAACAGTTGACATTGTAATGATTCTCAATATTGTCCTTAAAAAAATTCTCAAATGGGCGGAGTAAAAATCCTAGGTTACAGAAAAAAGAATAATGGGAAAAAAATAGAATATAGTGACAATGGACAAAAAATAAGGAATAGAGAATAATTTAGAACTAGAATGAATTCAAAACAGATGTACCGATATGGTATACTAAGCATATTCCGCTTTACATGCATGATCTTTCGCAAGATACCAATGTAACATGCAGTAAAAGGTCAAGACCAGGAACATGACAAAACCCGTAACAAATAGGACTTGTGGAATCTATGAGTTAAAGTGTCACATATGACAGATGAGAAATTGAGACTCTGCAATGATTCACCAATTCATAATGGCGAACGTAGAAGTTAAAAGTGAGGATTTCTGTAGTTTTTCTCATAACATTTCTAGAGTTTTTGAATTAAGTGCATACTTAAATAAATATGGTTAATAATCTATTTAGAATCGTATTAAGTAATGAACGATTTTATATGCTATTATGAGTTTACGCTTACTGCGGAAGAACTTTTTAGTGTAAACGATGAAATAAAATTTAACTACTCAAAGCCTTTGTCAATAAAGTAACATTAAATATTATGGAAATGTAAACATCTTTGTCAGAGTAAAAATTTCTTTCATTGTTAGTTTATTGCACATTTTAAAAGTCATTATTGACAACAACGTCTATAGTTTAACTAAAAGGAAAATTACAATTCAAATATCATTACAGGGAGTTTTTTACTGAATTTATACGTTGAACGTTGTCATTATCATTACATTTTCCTGTGCAGATGAATTTTGAGAACAACCAAGAACTGGTTCTATTTTTCGGACTTATTAAACAATTTATGGAACATAACATGTAGGACTTCTACAAGAGAGGAGAGAGATATCAAAGGACATTCAAACTCAAAAGTAGAAAACAAACTGACAACGCGATGGCAAACATTTTAAAAACGACAAAAAGAAAAACAACAGTATACAAAACACAAATCACAATTACAAAAATGTATCAACACAACATTTATTTATACAGAAGAATAATAGAATACACATTTTGTAGATTATTTTTACAAGTGCCACCAGAATCTGCAACCTATTCGTTCATAATTAGATGAAATTGATTACAAATACACGAGACAAAATAGCTTAAAAACATAATGTAGGTATCAATTGAAATCAGCTTCAATTAATTAATTTTATTTATGTTTACTTATAGACGGCTTTATTCTAAAAGCAACACGCTACATATCAACTTATTTTTTGCCTTCATTCTACGTGCTTCCATGTCCTGTATACGGGATATTCTTTTTGTTGATGGTTTTGGGTTATCAAAAGATGTCAAAAGAGGAACAAATGGAGGCATAACATTTATACAAGAGGGATCAGTAAGTATTAGGAAAGTTCATATATAATAAAATTAATTGATTAAGCAAAGTTAAAAACGAAAAAAAACTTATGTTTCGATATTTTTCTATTTTAGAAGAAAACAAATCCATTTATTTCATTTCGTCGTGAAAACCTGGATAAGTCTGTATAGGGTATAAAAGTTTGTCTTCTTCTAAGCCACGTCTTATTGTAATGAATTTTCATTTTCTTTTCAAATACTGACATAATGTGAGTTACATTGTAAAATTTTCAACAATATATAAAAAGTAAGAAGATGTGGCATGCTTGCCAATGAGACAACTCTCCACCAGATACCAAATGACATAGAAGTTAACAACTATAGGTCACCGTACGGCCTTCATCAATGAGCAAAATGCATACCGCATAGTCAGCAATAAAAGGCCCCGAAATGACAGATGTAAAACAATTTAAACTACCTGATTTATGTACAAAACAATATAAATAAGAAGATGTGGTATGAGTGCCAATGAGACAACTCTTCATCCAAATCACAATCTATAGAAAGTAAACAGTTATAGGCCAAAGTACGGCCTTCAAACACGGAGCCTTGACTCACACCGAACAGCAAGCTATAAAAGGCCCCAAAATGATTAGTGTTAAACAATTCAAATAGGAAAACCAACGGTCAAATCTATATAAAAAACGAGAAACGAGAAACACTTTATGAACCACACCAACAAATGACAACCACTGAACAACAGGCTCCTGACTTAGGACAGGTGCATACACATGAACGAAAAACAAATATGATATACCGTGAGCAACAAACGACAACCACTGAATTACAGGCTCCTGACCAATTCATTTTGTATTGAACTTTTTTTCTTCTTTTCATAGCACTGGGAATGTAAATTAATCTACTGTTTACTTCTCTACGGTGTTACAGTAACATGTACATGGATTTTTACGGAGGCCTTATATTTACATATGTTGGTATACAAGACACTTTTCACGGAGAGACATGGTGTAAAACTGTATATGATCATTGGTTGGCGTAAGTATTCTTTATTGGAGTATATGAAACATAATTTGATTTTAATACTTGTACTTGAATTTTACGAATCTACACATTTCCAATGTATACATGTATGTCAGAAGCTTTGAACTTTCTTTTTTTTTTCTTTTTACTATTTACTTTGCGTTTTACTTGGTTTTATTGTTTTCTTATCATTGCTGACCTTTTCATGTAGCATCACCGTTAATCCCACCACATTCCATTGTTGTAAAATAAAACAAGGAATAAAACATTACGTGGTAAAACTTATGTATGTTTTTGTTTTGTAACCTTCATAAGAATTGGTGAATTATATTGCTGTTTAATATATTTTCCATCTTGTTTATTCTTCTTTGTCGATTAACTACATTTTTAAGACATTATATGTGGCAGACCTTTTTCTCTGAATTACAATTAAGTTGTCTAAAGCCCTGTTGTCACTATCAAATTTTTTATCGACAAAAACTTGGGTCAAAGTTATCTGTTTTCACTATCAAAGTTGACTGGTGATTGGCCAAAGAAAAGTGGGAATTTTAGGCTTACAAAGAGTAAAATGGCTCTTGTAAACTTGACTAACTTTAACATAAACATCACATAAAAAGCATCCAATATACCATAACCAACGTATCTAGAGGGAAAATATCTCATACCCTAAATCACAGAACTATAGTTATAAATAAACATATAATTTATTGGTTATGTTGAATTAATATATTAAATTTTTTTAATTAGGTGCATGATTTCCTTTGAACAATTGAGTGCATATACATAAATGATTTCCTTACGAATATTCAAGTTGAACGTTTCTTAAAAACATATTCACCATACATAAATTAATCCAGTAGCCAGTAGTTACGAAAAGCATTTCATAACCTCATTTATTTTCGCCTAAACGAAAAGGCAATCGGTTTTGCAGGGAAATAGTTTAATGAATATCCTATTTTCTGTTACAAAGAAAGATTTTAACTGCAAACGACGAGATTATTTAGCGATTTTCTGCGTTTAAACTATTATCAAGAACTTTAAAGGAAGCATTTAAATGGGTTTTAAAATTATGTAACTCCTTTCTGTACAATGTACTTCCGTGCGCTTTCTACATGTCCGGTGTGGTTTGCTTCTTGAAATAAATTTCAATGACCTGTATTAGAAATCCATGAATTTTGTTTTGAAAATTGGTCTGTTTAACGAGTATGTCTTCTACCCTTTGTACGCAAATTTGTGTTGGAACAAAATTAATGATCTAAATCTTATTTTGAAAGAAGTTTTACTTTAAAATGTTCAGAAGTGGTATAATAAGAAATTATAATCCATCCACATATCAATATATTAGATGTCAGACAATTCTTTAACATCAAAAATACATTGTGAAGCAGGATCTGCTTACAATTCCGGAGCACCTGAGATCACATCCAGTTTTTGGTAGGGTTTGTGTTGCTCAGTCATAGGTTTTCTATACTGTGTTTTTTGTTCTGTTGTTTGTCTGTTGGTCTTTTTCCTTTTTAGCCATGGCGTTGTCAGTTTATTTTCGACTTATGAGTTTGAATGTCCCTTTGGTATCTTTCGGCTCTCATTTATACTAAAAGTAAAAATGAGCAGCCAGATACCAAGGGGACATTCAAAACTAATGTCAAAGAAAAACTGACAACGCCATGGGAAGAAACGGAAAACGAGGAAAAGACGAACAATTCTACAAAACACTACATTGCTTTTCAGTAGATTTGGGAATTTATAAAAGTTTGAAACTAAATAAAAATAACATGTACACTTTATAAATGTTATGCGATCTAAGCGATTTTCTGGATATACCTTCATCAGGAATGTTCAAAGCTAAATGTTTAAAAGCCAAGAATATAGAAGTACTGAAATAAAAATAAATGTAAAATTCTTTATGATAAAGTGTATTCAAATATGATAATTCAGATGCCTTGAATTGATACTTTTTTCATTGTGTTGATAATACAAGAATATGTGACAGCGACAATTTGTGTAAATTGTGCATCTTCATTTGGAATTATTAAAAAAGATTATTTTTCTTAAATCTGATATTTTTTAGACTTTCACTGACAAACTTCTCGATCATAAATTGTCATTATATTGTTAAACTAATTATTATTTTATCGAAATCATTTTATTTGCAATATTTGTCCGTCATAGTAATTTTATTAACATGTAACTATTTTTCTTTATAAAGCTTTTTGTGTTATAAGTAACAATTAAGTGTCAGTATATTTTCACAAAGTCGGAAATTTGTTTCTAGATAATTCTTTTTGTAAATAATAGATAAAGTCACAGCTTTACATAGTTCTTAAGTTTTCTTACGTAAAGCATAATTAATCCTTTAGTCATTTCAATTATCGCTTATTCAGCCTAAAACTCAAGCGACAGATTTTTCTTATATTCTTTTGTTAATCTTTTAAGTGCTAATTGTATGTTTTGTTCATTGTCATTCGATAATCTCGTTTCTATAATGAAATTGTAACCTATCAAAATTCTTGATTTAAGTATGTTTTCTGAAGTTCTTACTTCAGTGAGAGTCAGACATTCGAACTGACAACATCCACCCAACTTGTAAAACTACATGTATTCCATCCTGAAATCAATGAATTGTTAACTACTGCATAGGACTTGTGTCTAATTATACCAGTGGAGTTAAAGCGATTATTCTCAGGCAAGTGACTAAGTCCTAGTCATTGTCCATCTTTGGCATCGCCAAATTCTGCAATCGGTCGTGGGTTGCAGCTCGTTATCATCATCAATCCAGTAGCCAGTCACCCGGTTACAAATACTTCAAGAACTACTGAAAGCAGGGATTTTCTAATTCAGTTTAAGGTTTCTTGAAGTAGGGAAATTATTAAAAATGTATCATGATATATTGACCTGGAAAAGAATGAATTTGAATTATTTATATGTATATAGTATGTTTATTTCTCAATAAATTGTATACAATGAAATAGTATAGAGAATGAAATATAGCATAATGTAGACCGTAGACCAAAGAGGAGAGGTTGGCATCAAAACAAGTTTCGAATAGCCATTGAGAAATTGTTATTATGATATAAAAAAAAACTTATAAAGAGGAGCTTCATGTTGTAGAACCGGATGATGTAATTGAAATTGTAAACTTAAAATAAAAAATAAAATAAAATTCCGTCCTGCACACTGTATTGTATAGACGTATTCAAAACATTTGCAAAATTAGCTACGCATCGAACACAGAATAAGAAGTTATAAACGGCTTTTATTAGAAATATTTCAATTAAAATATGCAAAAGATACCAAAAGGACATTCAAACTTATAATTCGAAAATAAACTGACAACGCAATGGCAAACACAGATTGATTGATTGATTGTAGGTTGATTCACGTCCAGTGGCAATGATGGAAAAAAGACCAAAAGACAAATAACAGTACACAAAACACAACTTAGAAAAATTAAGATTGAGCAACACGAACCCCACCAAAAACCGAACTTGATCTCAAGTGCTTCGGAAGGATAAGCAGATCCTGCTCCACATATGGCAACCGTCGTGTTGCTCATGTAAGTACGAACCCGGTGATAAGTCTAACTCGGTAGGTCACATTCGAGGAAAAGAGGACGGGATTGTGGTTGCGACGATTGGAACATATCCGTTGTCATCTGTGAAACAGATATTCCATAATGGTCAACCAACTCGTGATGGCGCCCATAAAATTTACGAGGGTTGATTTCAACTTCACCACTTGGAACTCTTGGTTTAATAGCTATATATCTTGTGAGCAGCAACCCTCTATCATGGAAATCATAACAGTTATTTCAAGCCCTTGAATATCGTATCAAAAGGAAGATATATACTCCATATGTAGGCGCTGCTGGAATGTTGCTAAATAGAAATGGAAAGTTCATAATTGGGTAGCTGACATCATCTCTTTTGTCGTAAAGTTTTGTTTTCAACCGACCCTCATTATATAGTGAGAAAACATCTATATAGCGGAAAATGAAGTCAAAGGTTAACCATCTTATCACTGGATTTCAAATTTTTATGATAGTGCTAGAAATGGAGCAGACACTACACTGTCTACCTTCCGGGACCAACCCGGAATTTTCTCTTGTTTTAGTAGGACCTTCATTACCCACTGAATAATGTATTTTCACCTTTTCTCTGTTGGCTATGCATCCTTTGTCGTCATTTTTTACAATGAAAAATAGAAAACTTTACTGCTCGTAGAATTTTACAAAGAAGATATTAGAAGCTGAACACATAATTAACCTTCACAAGATATGTATGCAAGATTCCCAGATTTAAATATTCGATTGTAATTTATGACTTTTGGATATATTTCTTTATTTCTTGGTACTTATTTCTACAAACTTTAAAAAAAACGCGTTTCAAATTACTTACATTTCAAATAAATAAAGAATGATTGCATATCTATAACATAAAAAACAGAATTAGAAAAATCATTAAAGGTACATTATATAATCGTACAAAAAAAAACCGAAAACAGTTTATGACCGCCCACCACACATAAAAACAAAATTTAATCATTCAGCCTTCTATATTACCAACAATACTTATTAAATAGGACATTTAAAGGTATCTGTAGAGTGTTAAACAGAAATTAAGTTATAATTTGTTGAGTATTTCAGAGGTTTCCGGAGTACAAAAGGAGAATCACGAAACTCTGGGAGACTTAAAGCCTATAAATTTGCTCATAACCTTTTAATAAACATCTAATTCAAACGGTATTAAAAGAAAATCAGTTCGCACACCAGGTTTTTATTACATTGATATCCAATATTGAGATTCTGGTTAAAGTATGAAGATCTGAGAATGCAATCTCATAGTGTAAAGAGGCATTTTGTATATTTATATATGTATACGTACTCTTGCCATTTAAAATATCTCACGCATTTTTTCTTATATCAACCTATAAACCTAACACTGATTTTATAGGAATTAAATTGTTTCAAAGTTACTTACATACATTTTCTTTATTGCCCTTTTCTTTGTAAAAATAATTGTAAGATTGACCGTTTGTATAGGTTTTGAATTTTCAAATATTTTGCCTTCGAGCATCACTGAAGGGAAATTTATTATTGAAATGCGTCTATTGCAATGAAATATGTACCTTTAATGTTGATGAACTTCGTTAATTTGAAATAATACATCCTACGTTTTGTCGGAAATGCATTACGTAATAGCGTAGGATAAAATTGACCAATACTTGCTCTGGTCTTCAATATAAACGAACTATTTTGCTCGTTTGATTTTCTAAATCAAATGGACTATTGTTGACTTATTCTTAACTGGAGTGTTCAAACGCTTCAGTCGAACTATGCTTAAGTCAACGCTTTAACACCCCAATGCCATTTCAAAATAAAAAAAAGGCAACAGTAGTATATAAAGCAATCATTTCTTAATTTCTTAAACTGTCAAATTGAGACAGTTTTTAAAAAAATATGATTTTTATAAATAGGTACGTAATCTATGAAAATCAATGTAGATAATCTGACGCATTATTCTACTCTGCTACAATGTACAAAGTTTTTTGTCGATAAGGGTTTGGATGACATCAATATTAGCAATATTTCTTATCAAAAATCTGTCTAGAAAACAATATCTGATTATTTCAAAGAAAATAAATGGACAATGTGTCCATGGGACACATATGATGCACCCGCTTGCATATAACGTTATAACGAGGCATAAATCGAAAACGGTAGAAGTTACGCCACCCAAATTCAAACTTGATCTGTGTTATGTAGTAATAAGCATTGTGTATAAGTTTCATAACATTTGATTGATGCATACTTAAGTTAGAGAACGGAAACCAATTTTGGGACGTACGTACGGACGGACAAGGGTAACACTTACATGTACATGTAATGTCAGCTTCGGTGACGGCAGGGCCATAAAAATACACCTGTCATTCCATATACCTACACCGAACCTATTGCTTCAACTACAAGAGGGTATTAAAGACCTTTACGGTTAAGGATGAAAAATTCAAAGCTCCCGATTGCTGATGTGCATCGCTCCTAATACAATATTGGTCCCGCTGGTCATGTTTTAACTGGGATCCATGACATCGTAAAATAATGAACAACTTAATGAGTTTTTTGACAAAGACCCAAATTCATCCACTGAAAGAAGAGCTTCAGGTTACTGAGGGATACAGTTGAGGAATATGTCAGAAAATGGAGTACAACGCAAACTAGATGAACCAAAAATGAACACTTTGTCTGAATGGATCAAAGCTGTTCGTTCAGGCATTCAGAAGCGCTTTCAAAATCTACGATTTACAATGAGCTCACGGATTTCTAACCCTGTCACGAGGTTGCGGATGCTTTATCCTGTCTTCTCTTCACGACAAATATGTTGTTGTTCCAGCAAAGCCTCAAATATTTTTTTTTTATATGCACAAACCATTACTTGGGATGTATCACAAAAGAACTTGGAATTCACAGCAAAACTAGGAATCCCGCATATACCCATACATCATTCATGTAGAAGGAGATTTTAGAAAATCACAAATCTGTACTTCTTTCATCCGTTTTCAAAATGAAAAGGGATGATGAAAATCTCCCATCTTTATACAGCTCGATACCTAAACTTCATACAAAGCTTATAAAGAACGATCTATAGCCTGGTCGTCTAGAAGTTGGACTAATTAGTTTTACCACCATAATGATTTATTTTATGGTAAAATATGGCCTTCAGAAAATATTGCGATGAGGTGTAATCAACCAGCAGTGTCAATTAGAGGTAGATTCCTACAATTTGTAATGATCTACTCAAAATCTCCAATCACAATCTTTACAATTTTGCAGTAATATCGAACTTTTTTTATTTTTTACCCTTTACAATACTATTCCCGATGCTCAATTGAAAGATCGACTACATCGTCTCATTAAGCAGAGTGTTTTTCTACAAAAAAGGGAAATGTTGATACAAATTTATTGTTTTAGGTCATGAAAATGTTGTTACTTTGTGACACCAACACTGATTCTATCAACATATACGACGAAGTGGATATCAACAAAATGCTAGGCTTTTTGATCAACAACATATTTGTTGAATTTAGCGAATTGGTATTTCAACAAACAGTCGATATTCCAATGGGTACTAATTGTGTACCAATACTGACCACTTGTTTTGGTTTCACACGAAGCAGAGTTCATACAAAACCTTTCCAATGAAAAAAGAAAAAACACATCTCGCAAAGTTCTTTTATTTCACTTACGTATCACAGTAATTACATTGTGCTCGTGTATGTTCACACTTTACGGACTTTTTTTAACTGAAATGTGTTCAGTACATTAAAATTGTTCCAACGAAGTTATGAGGAAGACCGACTGAAATCAACACAACATAAGTTGTACAGTCACCATCACGGATAGGTTTACCGATACAATGTGTCGGTGTTTCAACTCAATAGCGGTATGTTTTAGCAGTCTTAGATCTTTAGACACAAGAACAGTCGTCTCATCTGTAATTTTACCGATTGTGTCCTAAACCCGTTTTTGATATTATGACTGCGTGTAAATTCGTACGGCGAGTGATGCATGCATATCAGTGGACACTTCATATCCTGTCGACGCATCTGGTATTGCTTTTTTGTAGTTCATTCGATTCCCCCCAGTGTTTGTTTGTTATCTTAATTTGCATCTTAGTAAATGATTTTCGATATTTGAACATCGGTCAGATTAATTCGCCACTATTTATCAAATGGCATTATATTTTACAGTTACCCCGCTGTTATTTGTAATACCATGGATTATTGTAAGAATAGAGCTTGAAGACGTGTAGTAAGTGATAATATTTATAACATCGAAGCCACAAAAAAGAAATCATTAAATTTTTATTGAACACACATCTTTTAAAAGCAAGACGGAAGATATTAAAGGGACATTCATAGATGTATAAACCCATACATGGTATGGGTTTATACATCTATGGGATATTCAACTCATAAGTCGAATTTTTTTAAGTTTTGAATATAAACAACAAGGTTTTATTTGGAATATTTCAAGTAATTTATTTGTTCATATGTATAGTATACATCGATGCAAAGAACTTATTTAATCAAATACAAAGTTAGTGAGTAATATACATTTTAAATTCTAAATAAATTTGATTTTGTTTATTATACTTTTTATCTTTTAGTTGCTGGAATTGGACTGGTAATACTGACTATCAGTGGATCATCACTGGACCTGTTCTTCTTATCAATGGGGTAATCCTAAACTTTTTCTTTTGTTTTATAGAAATATGCATATTTCAATATACTGCACAAAAACCACAAACAGCCATTTTGTTTTATACCAGATCTTCTTATTTTTATATTTGAACTGTTAATAAATGGATGGAAGGATGTATATAATAAACTATGATTTGTTTCAAACAGAATTCTTCAGCACCACATGACTTTATGACAACGTTTATTTGAAGTCACTTTGTATCCATTTACAGTCATAATTTCTTTACTTTGTATACTACATTTCGTATGGCGTTGTCATTTTGTTTATAACTTTACTAGGTTAAATATCACTGTTGAATCTCCCTCTTTTCTTCTACACAATACAATATCAAACAGAATGTTTTTGCTAGTTGTTCACACTGACTCTATATTTATTCCAGTCATTACAGTTTCTCTTACATTAATAAAACTTTCAAACAGGTATATGCAAATAAGAATCTAAAGCCATTTTTGTATATTCAGTAGTATACTGTCAATGGCGACTAACAGTGTAAAACCTATAGTGGGTGTATTCTTAATTTTTTTGAAAGTTTTTGCTAATCTTCACAAAGATCCGACAAAACATCGCTTACAGACCTTTTCTCTGTAAAGGAATTTTATTATTATGCTCAAAAAGAATTTACCCACCTCAATACGTTTAAACAGAGAACGTCAGTGTCTAATTTTAGACCCTAAAATTTCTCATGAATATCTTTAAACCAAAGTTAATGAAAAACAAGACGAATTATCCTTTTCTTAGGAAAGTTCTTGTCTGTATTTAATCGACTTATTGTTTTTTATTGCCCACTTGCAATTGGTATCTCATCCCTTTTTTCTCTCTTTATTTGCCTGTTCACATACTTCTCCGAATTAACCATTTATGTTGCCCAATTAGTGTCTTATTGCATTACATACTGAACTGGTTTGAAACCAATACATCACTTAGAATATAAGTAACGACGCTACTCCTGTCTTTGTTGCGTGACGGTCATGTAATGTCATTAGCATTCACTGACTTGCAATTTGCATTTTTTACAGGTGAACTTTATCTTCTTCGTTGATTTAGTGAGAGTTTTGTATAAAAGAGTACATACAAATAAGCGAGTAACTGGCAGTAGAAAGATTAGGTAAGTTATTATATCCCTATCTGAGAATGGAGGCGATATTGCATTCACCTTTTCCGTTCGTACGTTTGTCCGTTCGCCAAACAAACATTTCCGTCACACTTTTTTCATGAACTGCTGAAAATAATTACTTCATATTTGATCAGTAGCTTGACACTGATGATTTGTAACGTCTGTGCACTTTCTGATCTGGTAGACATATCCTGTCCGTTTACCGATACTTTAAATATTCAATATGTTGAACGAGCTTAAATTCATCGTCACAAAAATCTCCAGTACTACTCAACAGAATAACTTAGTATGTGTTCTGCAGCTTGACAGTGATGAGTTGTAATATTTGAGCACTTTTCAGATTTCTTCCTATTTGCTGATGCTTTAAATTTGCTAATATTTTTAATGAACTTCTAAACATTTTTGTTATACATTGTTGTCAATATAATGGAATTCTATGCGACTGTCATACAAGCTAGCTAGCTATAAAACCAGGTTGAATGCACCATTTTCTACATAAGGAAATGCCTGTACCAAGTCAGGAATATGACAGTTGTTTTTCATTCGTTTGATGTATTTGAGCTTTTGATAAGGGACTTTCCGTTTTGAATTTTCCTTGGTAGTTCGGTATTTTTGTTATTTTTACTTATTTTTCATCAATACTACCGAACATAAAGACTTTTTTGGTCAGCAGAATGACATTTGTTACATATATGAAAGCGTGTTCAAACGAGAAAACATGTTTAGATTTCATGTTAAACAGTACTCACATCATTTTCATCGCATGAAGTATAACGGGCATTAATTGTCTTATGCGATAATTCGAAGGCGTAAATTTTTTGGCGCGAACAATTATTGTGAAAAGTGATATGTGAATGAATCTCCAATTCTAGCTCTGCTTTACTTTTGTTTTTCTTTGTTGACATATTTGTTTGTTTTTATAATGATTAAGATTATAACACAATGTTGACTGCTGTATCCCTATGTTTGACATTTTTACCTATTATGTCTGTTTGTTTTGTTCATACATTGTTGTTAATATAATGGAATTTTAAGCGACTGTCATACAAGTGAGAGGTTTAGCTAGCTATAAAACCAGGTTTAATCCACCATTTTCTACATAATGAAATGACTGTACCAAGTCAGGAATTTGATAGTTAATGTGTTTTAGCTTTTGATTTTGCCATTTGATAAGGGACTTTCCGATTTGAAATTTCTTTGGAGTTCGGTATTTTTGTTATTTTACTGTTTACTAAAGTGAACATTATTTTTTTTACATGTACATCATTTTTAATAAAAATATGATTATGTTCATTTTGCATAACTTTTTTGTAAAAGGTTACCTAGTATGGTTTTACAAACGTAATCGGATTGGCTTTTTTCGTTGAGATTAAATTCAAACTAGGAATAATTTGTATTATCGCAGTCTTTAAGCTGAAAGTCGATTTCCCATTAAAAAAATATTGATTGCTTTTTTGGATGTTCATTCATTAAGTGACTTTCTACTTTTGAGTTTCTCTTGGCATTGGCAAAAAGACACATGTTTCTGAATTTAGTTTTTCCTTGTCAGTCACGAAACAATTTGAGTATCAATTTATACAGATGCCATTATATGCTAATTGATTTGCATTGATTTGTATAGTTTGAGACACATTTTTGATTTAAATTAAATATACTACGACAGCACAGAATGAATAGAAGCAGGAAGCTAGTCGACAAACTTTCGTTTGTATTTTAGTTGCCTATTTCTGTTAGTTCATTGGGCATTGCATACTACAAATGACGTGATAACAGAAATTTACAGAGTACAACTGTATTTGCTCATACAAGATTATAAAATAGACTTTTAAAAGCACACTTATTTTTTTCATGTTGACTAAGCACATTACAACTTGTTCCTGTATGAATAACAGTTAATGGTCAATCTACGGAGATGGAAATATTCGTCTTAATTTCTGTTAATAAAAAAATATATTGACACATATCGTTACCTTGATGATTACTGTGCTTCATATAACAAAGAATTCTCAAATTATGCTGCGGAAATTTACTTCGGAGAACTGGCTTTACATCATTATAATATGAATAGCACAATTGGAAATCTTCTTAGTATGTATTTTCAGATGCATCCGGGGAAAATTATACTATGATTTCCGACTTAAAACCTTTCCATAATTTGTTTTTACGGAGATGTTTGTTTGGTCCTTTTTTAACTCGTGTTTACGGTTTGTTATTATGTTGTGTTGTTATGCCATTGTCCCGTATTAGAGAATTGAACGCTAACAAACATTTTAACGCCAACTCATTATGTGCCGGTCCCAAGTCAGTAGCCTGTAATTCAGTGGCTGTCATTGGTTACGGCCTGTTGTAATTTTGGCGTTTACTGTTTAATAAATGAGGCTGTTTTGAATTTTTCACGTTTGTCATTTCGGGGCCTTTTATTAACTTTCATTAGAAATGGAATAAAAATTTTTAATGAAGAACCATTGTTACGTTATTCCAGTCACGATGGTTTTTTTTTTTATCTATTTGTTTAAAAATTTATGAATACATACGGTTTTGGGTTTGCTCATTATATAGAAGAGTGCGTACTGACTAGTACACCAAATCCTGAGCAATATTTTAGATGTTGCAAAGTGCTTATCGAATTTGTTTCATGCCATATGATTTTTCTTGATAGTCATCGAATATAGCAGGTTGATAATGACGTAACAATTAATATAAGAAAATACTATATCTATTGAAGTAACAACTTTATGAGAAGAAACATCACCTAGTCGTTTTCTCAAAAGGAGCTAATTTCACATAGTGCCCTTTGATGATTAATTATATACAAATCTCATTAATACTGGTCGCGTTGTCTTTATTAAAATGTGTTTCTTTCTGAAATGTCTATATTTTACATGAAAGATAAAACATTAAAATTGCTATCATGTACCATAAATTCAATTAGCTATTCCCTATAAAGTGATGTCTGGAACGGTAATGTGATTAATTCTTCAGGGAAAGCTATGCTTCGGTAGTCGCCTTGCATATTCTAAATACCACAACTAGTTTAGATTGTTGAAGTAGAATGATGTCATTTACTTATGAACAGCAATATCTCTGCTAATCGATCACATTATCATATTGTATTATTGAATCAAAGTGCCAAAGACCTCTTAGAAAATTCTTTTTGTAATACAAATTCACCGCAAGTCTGCCTGTTAGTAACTATATTTTTATTCACAGGTCAAAAGACACAAAGTTAACCAACAAGTTAATCTTTAAACCAGGACAATTGCACTTTTCATTTTCAAATATAAGATTTGAATCTTCATGAAGCTTCAATCCAAAATTTTTAATTTCAATAATGTCTAACAAAACAACCCAAAAGACGGTCACTTGAAACTTATTCATACAAGAGAAACAAAAATATTCTAAAAGGAAACCCGTAATGTTACAATTCGACGACAAGAACAAGAGAAAATTGTTGATGTTGTAGATTTCGAGAGAAGAAGAATTAAAATTTATCAGTCATAATAATAAAAAAAGAATCATGATGTCTTGTATCTGACACAATCAGCTGAACAATGGGATTCTTTGTAGAAGTTTTTAAAATCATCATTCATAGAAACTTCAACTTCAAGAAGATTTGGCAACACAAAGTTTCAGATACATTTAAATATAATAAATGAAACCTTAATAATCTTGTACACTATATTGCTAAAACGGATAATAATAATTTTTGATCTTCCTAATTTTAAATCATCGTATCTTTATTTGATACCCAAAAGCTTAAAGAATTAATCTCGTTGAGTCTCTTGTAAGATTGGGAACTCAAATCTTAAATTGTGTATGCCTTTGATTGGTCAGGGCTATCTATTTGTTTAAACAATTATGAATATTTATTTCCTCCAAAGTTCAGTATGATTCTAAGGAACAGTGTGGCCACCAGATAAAAATATAAAAATAATAATTGTAATCAATCAATTCAAGCAAATTGAAAAGTATTCTTCATATAGGCCCTTCTAATCAATATTGCTACCATGGAATTGCTTTGTTTGGTGTTTCTCTCTCTCCAATCGTAGCAACAATAAAAAAAAAACTGTAGTAGGCCAATAAAGTAAAAAAAAATTTTATAATTTATTTCAAAGTGGAGCATATACGTATTCATTACCGCCATAGCTGATGATGCGTGCATATAAGGAGACGCTTACTTAGTCGACTGTTCCGGTCTGGCGTCATTAGGAGTTAATAAGATTCCCTGAGTTTCTTGGCATTGGTTTATTCCAAATAGCTTTACGAGTAAAGAACATTGGTTAACTACTGTCGCCTCGTATTATATATCTATCAATGCCGCCATGAACGAAACAAACTGGTTTTTTTTGTAAGTGGTTAACCAAATCGTTATCAATATAAAGTGAAAATAATATTTGGCCTTGTACTTTCTGCCAAAAAGAAACGATAAAGACAGATTCAGAAGATTGTTCAATCAGATAATGAAATTGTAACCGTTTACGCCACTCAATTAGCACACCATTATCATTCTTAGCAAAAGGTCTACAAACGATCAAGTTGATATTTGGTTCATAATTACAAAGGAGGAAATATCCTATTGGTTATTGCTGAAATGGAAGTGAATGATTTTTGTTTAAATGTAAAACCTTCCATAACGTATTCCTGTCATATATATAAAATAAGGAGATTTGATATGAGTATCAATGAGACAACTATCAAAAAGAATCCAAATGGAGCGAATTCAAGCAACTATAGTTAACCGCACGGCCTTCAATTATGAACAAAACTCATTATATCGTATAGTCAGCTACAAATATGACTTTGTTTCAGAAGAATTGACGAAAACTTGAGAAATTAATAGCAATGGGTTATGTATGTGCTAGATACGTACCATTAAGCTTACGCATAAGATTAAATTTTATGGTTTTCTATAAAACAATAGTAGTAGAAATCCTCATATTTGTTTGTTTCAAATTCAATCTGTTTATGTTACTAAGTCTTTAGTTTACGGTGTGTTGGATGAAATGTTGTTTATCTGTTCATGTATTTTATTCATGTTGTTGTCTGTTTTTCTTCAACTAAGAGTTTTTGATTGCGCTTTGATATTTACTTCCCTTGTTTGCTTAAATATACTACTGGATTATTTTTTATTAGGGATAGGTTTAATATGGGGGGAACGGGGTGCTATTAATACCATTGTTATAACTGATAATGTATAATCTATTTTTAGTGCATTTGCTTTTAAATCATATAGCATCATATTATTAATCGAATTTTTTTAAGGATTTGTGATTCGTTAAAACTTGATCACATGTACATTTGTATTTGCTCAGTTTGCACGCCAATACTGTTGTGTTTAGCTTTTCGTAGGTCAAAAACAGCATATTGCACAGGGCATACAGCATGTTACTAAAAATAGATTCTAGAAATCCCCAATTTTACATTGTTCATGCAATAGTTGTTGATTAATAATATAACAATTGTAGCCTTTGGTTGAGGTCAATACGATGTTATATCGACCCAGAGAAGCATATCGACCTCGGACTTCGTCCTCAGTCCATATGCTTCTCTTAGGTCGATATAACCTCGTATCGACCTCATACAAAGGCTATAATTGTATAATATGATTTTGTTATTAATGATTATCATACTTAAATGTTTAATATTACTTAATTAAACTTTTAATTCTAGGAAACTGTCCAAGTTCATAGTTGTTCTGATACCGTTGTTTGGGGTCCTTTATATTGTATTTTCATTTCTGTATAATCCAAAGTTGAACGAAGAAAGAGATGTAGTAGTTATGTATGCTGAAATGTTTTATAATTCTTTTCAGGTACGTTTATTTATAATTCCGTACCCGAAATAAGTCTAGGTTAATTAAGATATGATGATTTATTATAAGAATATATAAAACATACTTATTCTTAAATGTCATGGATTTAAAAACGTCATCACTACAATGACCAAAATACCTTACTTTTCTAAGTGTCAGAATATTCGAAAAGAGCAATAGATATAGAGTTAAACTGAAAATGCATTAAGAACCACTACAACATTACATCATACTGTCAAGGAAAGTCAAACTGTTTGATTAAATCTTGATTAAGTAATCTTTTTAAGATTGAATAAAAAGTACATCGAATGCAGATCTCTGTCTTTAAAAGAAAAACTATAAATCTTTACAAAGTTATTTGACGTAAATTCATCCTTTTTAATTATCTATAAAGTGGTACTTCATATTCACTTTTATAGATTCATCTTAAATACTGACTAATGGAAGAGTTGCGTTTTGTTGTCATGTTAACTGTTTAAAAAATGCATTCATCGACAGTACTTGTTTTCGTTATTTTCTAATGTGTCAACCATATCATAGAAACAAGCTTAAGAACAGCGATTTGAAATACCATATAAAACTGACATGCTAGAAACACATTTTTTTCATGAAATATAAGAGATGCTCACTCATCACAAGATAAACGTGAAACATACCCACTCCGCACACCATAATGTGAAACATACCAACACCACACACGATAAACGTGTAACATACCCATTCCGTAAACGATAAATGTATATGAGTTTAAAAATTGTCAGTAATACATAATGGGGTTGTTTAACCTAATGATTTCTATGTATATATTATAGTCTTTTGAAAAGATATAATTGTTTTGTTTTTCATTTACATTTCAGGGTCTTCTGTTGGCCATTGTATTTTGCTTCCTGAATGAGGAGGTACTTGATTTATTATGCTGTCGTAAAGGCAAATATATAGTCTATTCTTGACTTGTAGATAAGTAAATGGTTATTGGTTTTAAAAGTATGCCGTTACGAAAGATCTTGAAGTAGACTCTACAATAATTGTTGGTAACAAAATTGACCAGAGGATTGTATTGTCAATTAAATTATGTTTCAAAACACAAAATAATTGTCAAATAAAATGTATAAATTAATTCATAATCAATTTTTTTTGGTAAACAAAATAGTTTGTTTTCCGTTTATAAGTATAAGTATATTCAGACCTAATTTTTTGGATCGTAAATATACAAAATGTAGTTATACTGACAACAGCTTACAATATTGTGGTCAGTTCCTCCCCCAAGACATTACATATAATCAACACCAGTAACTTCAAAATACACTAAGATCTCGATCGGGATAGTTATGTGATTACATACTAATCTGTTTAATATATACATATATATTCTTTGACAAAAGCATTTAACATGAAATAACAGGATTTGATATTAATCACTTTTCTAATATATTTGAAATATCATACTTGTTAATAAGTTTCTTGATTTAAAAAAAAAATTTTGTCAAACCGTTAACCAATATAATGCTACACTAAAAAGTCGTGGTGAGACAGATTTGAACAGTATCTAACAGGGAAAACAACCCTAAAATACAGGTTTGTCTGTTCAAGAATGCTGGTTTATTTTTTTGCACTGTCTACGCTTCAAAACAGAGTTGAAAATAATTATGGAAATCACAAATATTGCCTAAATTTTGTATTCATTCTGGTTATCCTGTCACTGAGCAATAATGAATATATGAAAAAAAATATGAAAACAACACGTTATGAATTCCATGCATCCGACGCTCTTTTCTGAATGTACCATCACCAGAAACGCTCAAAGCCGAATATTTGAAAGCCAAGGATTTATAAGAACCGAAACAACTGAAAAGCTATATAACAAAAAATGGAGAACAGTGAGGATATAATAAACAATTTCGCAAATAAAGGCTAATCAAACTATTTAAGAACTATTAGTATATGGTATATACTAAATTTGTTTTGTAAACTTCATTTTCAGATTCATGTAGAGATCCGAAAATGCTGGTACAAATATGCCTTAAGTCGAACAGACAGCACTATGTACACTCGAACAGCTATGCTGTCCACATGGCGTCACACCGGATCACAGAGTTCTAGAGGACACTCAAATATTGATAATACACAGTCAGATATTTGTCTCAATGACAATGTTGGAGGAAGGAATTACAGAAATGGGGTTAAAAAGCCTAAATCTAAAATGGTGCCTAATGTGAGAATTCGATTTCAGTCTTCAGACGTAAGAAATTCACGAAGTTCAAGTAATTCATCCCCAACAATGGACCGAGAGAGTCGTTACCTAAAGTTAGAAGAGGCTTATATCACACGTACTTGAATAAAAAAACGCTCAGATAAAATTGCTGGAAGAGTGAATGCTATATACAGATAACTTTACAAAAAAATGTAGGATTTGATAATAAATTTCGATTCACAGAGCAGTATTTATGGAATAAAGTTATTTCTCTGTTGAAGATGATAATTATGTTACACGATTACACGTATTTGTTTTAAGAAAATTGTCAATTAGAGTAAAACATATAATTATATTGCTTTCTAAACAGATTGAATTATACTAAGTGATTTCTAGATCTTTTATAGTCCACCGTAAAGCAGTTATCTTGTGAAAAATAACAAATTAAATGAATCACTGTAATTCAATTACATGAGTACAAATGTAACAACTAAAATATTTATCGGTTTAAGTCATGCAAGGGTGTGTGCTTAAAATCTTGCAAAATCTAGTGTACGATAAACTTAAAAGCATATTTTGTGAACAAATGTTTTGAAAATAAAGTATACAGAAGAGTAAGCTTTCATTTTTAAGAAAGGTTTTATGTTTCAGGGTAGACAACTGATCATAACAATGATTACGCCATTCATGTGACCTGATTAGCACAAAAAAGGACTATACAAAATTTACAAACACGCAAGTACGATGTTTGTAAATTAAAAAAGAGCAGAAATATTTTACAGATAAGTTGTATGACAATTACTGCAAAAATATGTAAAATTTTCTGAACAGCTTAAAAGATATTAGTAACATTTTAATTTTCGAGTTGTACAATTTGAAGTGATTTAATTACATGTAGTTAAAACGTATAATAAGATGTACCCTTCGTCAACTCTTGCTAATATTTGCTATTTAGCGATTGAGGGGATGACGAAAGAAATGAATTCAGGTAGGCTTGAAAAGGAATGAACAATGTCACTGTAACTGCTGTGTTTATCTATAGGTACGAAAATGATACGTTTGTGTGTCATGTGTACACGAATGTTCAACAAGAACATATGATGTATATATATATAAAACGAATTAGATTAATATTTGAACTTTTAAATATTTGTGTCAAATGGAAAGTATTTATTGGTTTCATTTTCAATTCTTACTTTGTTGGAAATATCCTTTCTCGTTCTCTCAACTAAAAAACTCCGGAAAGGTGCATGCAGGAATTAAGGGTGTTATGGTTCTTTGTTTATATTTCATCCTGATTGGGGACATTGATTCAGGTATAAAAAAATTACTAAATTAAATCTCAATTACTCAGTTATATTGGCATCTTGTTTATCTGATCAGTTTTACTATTTTCAGTTTCTGTCTTTTAAAATAGTTTGCAAGTTAAATAAGCAAAAATTGTAAAATTAATCGTCATTTAAGGACAATAACCTCTATAAAGAGTCGACTGATAATTGGTCACGTTATAGGTGTTGATAAAGCTCGATTCTGGAAACATTTATTTTTGTTTTTGTTGTACATGCCGATTTAAAGTTTTAATGAGATAAGTTTTCGAATAAAGCACAATAATTGACAATACCGCCCATCATCCTACCGGTTTCACAAACGACCACCATCGATAAGCGTCGTTAATGACGACAATGTATTGTTCTTTTAATTTTTATTACTACGAATACGAATAAGATCGTCATTGTTACCGGTTAATTAAAACATATCTATAGACATGCTATAGAGTATCAGGAAAACATGATCTGTCAGATATATAAACTTATCTCATTAATTTGACAAACAACCATGTCAGTTTAAGCACTACATTTTGCGTTATTTTTCTCTTATATATTATATAAGATACGTACTTATATTTTGATTTCACGTTAAACTAAATTTTAAAAGTAACGTGGAGGACTAGCTTCATGATGAATACAAACGCACCTCTGTATTTCCTTTGGGTTTTGTGTCGTTTTGTTGCTTTCTATTTGACGTTTATCTCGCATTTCCTTTTGTATAGGTGAATTTTCATAAAATTGGGTAATTACATCAAATACTTGAAAAGGTGCATAATTTCTTAAATACTATGCAGCAGTAATCCATAAATTTTTAAAATCCTGTCACTGTTACTTATATCGTCATTTAAACAAGACTCAAGTTTCACATTTTTCATGTCGGAGCCTTTAACAGCCGATTATACAGTATGGGTTTTTCTCATTGTTGATGGCCGTTAGGTGGTACATAATTATGCTTACTTCCACTTTATTTGAACTCGGGTGGATAGTTGTCTCATTGGCAATCATACCACATCTCCTTATTTCTATATTAACACATGACAAATTTTAAACTCTTCCAAAATATAACAGAAAAGCAAAATAAACAATAACTAAACTAACTAAACAAAACAATAAACAGATCGAACAAACAAACAGAAACAACTAAAAAAATCATCCGAAATTGTTTGACGAATCTTTTCCATCCATGAAGTCATCCAAGATATTATTTGCAGCATTCGTATACAATCATACCGAAGCATATAACTAACTCGATTATAAAGTTTACATATTTTTGAATATTAAATATTAAAGTTATGAACAATTATATCAATGTATCATAACTTCTCCTCAGCATTCTTTGTAATTCTTACGAACGCATGCATCTTGTAGAGAAAGATTACTTCTATCAAACGATAATCTCGAGTTCAAGCTTTCAAAAACGACTTCGAAGAAAGGATTACACATGAAACATTGTTCGTCTGCCTCACATAACTTCACCCGGATTGTCTTATATTATTCATATTGGACGGCTTGTGTCAAATATGTAGTGTGTGTTTTTTGTGTATCCAAGTCTGACTGTAACATCCTTATTGAAATGGAAACCCACATTGAAACAATATGCGGATATAGTGGTCTAATCCATTAAAAAGCTATTAGGCACATCGAAAACAAACAATGTTTAAAGCAGGGGTGGTCAGCGTGTTTCTAGGAAGAGTATTTCATATCGAAGTTAACCGCTCCTTTATTTCGCTATAACACCGATCAAGAAAGATTCGATTCATTTACAGTCTTCGCCATATTTTCTAAATGAAACGATATACCTTCCAATATTGACAATCACTTGATATTCGTTTCTGTAAATTCTTCAATTTGTCAATAAAATTTAAGTTACACAATAAATGACTTTATCAGACTGATTAAACATTAATTTTGATAACTGAAAAACGAGCATTCAACTGTTGAAATCTCACACCTTAAATCATGCGGAGACAATTATAGAGACAGTTATAGACTTTCCTGTCAATTTATATATAAGTACACTTTACCTAATCATCAAAGAACTATGTGTGATTTACAACAAAAATTGCTACTTTTCTTATACTTTTCTTATAATTACATCAAACCATTCAATTAGATCCAGAGATACATTTATAAATGAAAAATAGTTTGCACATATTTCAGGTCTGTCTATGTGTATACAAGCAATATTACTATTATTGTAGCAAATATTATATTGTACCACTATTGGAACCGGATTTGCTTACACTCCCGGAACATTACTTGATATTACCCCGGTCATTGATGGGGTTCATTTTGCTCAGTCGTTAGTTTTTTGGTGTATTGTTTCGTAAATTATTGTTTGTCTTTTTGGTCATGGTGTTGTTTTTCTTCGACTTATGATATCGGTATTGACCCCTTGATATACATTCTACCTCTTTTCTACTATGTCAGTAAATCGTTTTCCTTTGAAAGAAAAATGTAATTAGGATATACAGGTTCTAAAACATAAGCTTTCTCATGAATATTCCTCACATACTAATAATCATGGCTGTACAAATAAGGAGATGTGGTATGATTTCCAATGAGACAACTATCCAGCAGAGAAATGACCTGGATGCATGCATCTATATAGGTTCATAGATATACGCTGTTATAGGTCACCGTACGGCCATCAATAATGAGAAAAACCCGTACAGTAAACTAGTTGTCAGCTATAAACATGAAAAAATGTGAAACAATTCAAACGAGAAAACTAACGGCCTCATTTATAACAATGACTGTCTATCTGGAACCAGACAGCAGTCGCATTTACTGTAATCTCCTGTTATGTAAGAAAACCTGAAAATGAAAAAGGTAAATTTTTTTTTTTTAAATCATTATCGCAAATATATGTTAAAAAGTACTCACAAAAGTAAGTAACCCTTAAAAAGTTATTGACATGCACTTTAACTAAGTTTTTGAACTGAATGAAATAGTTGTCATTTGTCAAACATGGTACTTGATGTTTAATCGGTCAAATGTGTGCCAATACTGATGCATTGCAGCTGATATGCATAATATGTAATCTTTTATGTAATTGGTACGTGGACCTTCTTCCGGTTTTTTTTTTTTTATTTTTTTTTTGTGGATGTATGCAAATGCGTCGTTGCGTCAATACTAGCTAGACCTCTGAAAGGTATTGGTCGTTTTTTAAGGTGCCAATAATTATGAAAAATTCGGACGAATTATTTAAAACAGAATACATTGTTTTTAAAGTTCGTGTATAATATCTTCAAGAGGTAATGCTAATTTTCCTTGAATATATTCCAGAACAGGGCCATTTTCTGAAAGTTCTTCAATATTGACCAAAATTCAAAGTATTATACATTCAAATGCAAACTTTTAGGTTTTAACATATTTTGGGCTATTTTCGAACATTTGACCAAAGTATTTATGCCTGAACATAGATCATAACTGCAATTTTGAAAGATTTTGGCAATATATAAAAAGAATAATCTAGAAAAATCATGTATAAGAAGGTTTTATTGTGATTCCACTCCCAAAATTTTATTTAAGGAAGGCTATACAATGTATATTGTCATTATTTCATATTGGTTAAAGATGTCCTTTTCGATTCAATATTTTATAACAACTTGACAAATTTGCAATATTATATTCAATAGCAATATGCAGCACCAAATAACACTAAAGATGATATTTAAAACATCCGAATTCTAGTGGGTTAACCAGTTTTCTGAATTTGACCTTATGAGTGCAATAAATACGGGTAGAATTGACCCTACCTCACATATAATTTAAGAAAGTAAATTCTTTAATAAATCTTTCTTAACAGCTAAGTATACTGCACTTCTAAAACTGTAAATAATACCGATTCATGACAGTAAACACTCGGAGGGCATGTTAGTTACATGTCTCTGTGACATTTTACATCCAGGAAACATTAATGTATTTTATCGCTGTCCCCATGTTTAGTACAAATATGTCTTAAAAAGCTATATAACGACATGGTCGAGATTGACTTCTTAATAAACCTGAGTAGTCATTTTGTAGACAGCACTTATCTACATTAAACTGTAATGAAAGTCAATAAATATTAAGTTGTATTGACTTTTATTTACGGGGATGAAGCCGCTATCAGATGGGTTGTCAGTCAATAAAACCACATTTGACAAATTTTCAAATGGGATAGACGGTCTCATTATTGTATTTCATCCCAAGAAAGCAAACACACCAAAACCCCTACGTTAAAGTCTTGTGTGTGTATTTATGCAGTTTAATAATCAGTAGATTCCTACAGTTATGCTTCTATTC